CAGATCTACAGTTCTTGGCATAGTTATTAACAATTTGTTAAAAATAGTTTTTTTCCAGCAAAAGAGTAAATAGGGCGCAGACCTTATGTGTGGCGGATTAAGATGTATGTGGTATTAATTTTTTATTTCCATCAATCAATAAGTTCTCACTTATCTCAATTAAACGCGTGATTACAATCTTCTCTCCCTCTCTCAATATTTTCAAGAAGCTCACCAAAGTAATATGCGGGCGGTTATGATCTGGCGTTTGTTTCTTTTTCTTTGAGAAAAAAAGCAACAACATTTTTCTTTTAACTTTAATTAGAATTTATTATAAATCGTGTACATAAGTATGTAAGTTAACGTGGTGTTGTTCGAATTGTTAGGCTCATCTTTCTTATCTTGCACGTTACATTGTTAAATGACTTCCTTCCTCCATTTAGTGCGAACAATGTCAGAATTATTGCATCACCTTAAAGGCAAAAAGTACGTAAGGAAATTTAAAAAACCGGTTTTATCGACATTCGGAAAATAAGAAAAACGCTTTTTGTCTATTTTTTTTTTAATATAATAAAAGAATTATGTTATTCAAATCCTGAGTATATATCAGAGCAACATTTGTCTAATATTTTATAAAATTCTCATTCAAAATTTCAGACTTCCAGTAAAGAATAACTCGCAATAGCTTTTTTTTTTTTGATATCAACAAAACTAAATATTTTCTGATAGTCGGCGAGTGCAAGCCGTGGTTAACGTTCGTTAAAATGTACCAACAGCGTATTTCATTGCATTTTTCACAGCCAAGTCCACTTTTAAGGCGCACGGTCTTCATATATTTGAAGGCTGATATCGTAATGATTGTAAAGGAAAAATTTTGTTTGATTCTGCTCAAAAGTTTTCGTTTGGGGCCTTTCCGAGAGAGAGAGAAAAGTCGGAAGCAGGAAGCAAATGTATTGGACCCTACTCTCTTCTTCACAAAATCTTTATACGCCATAGAGAAATCGATTTTTTTTTTTACTTAAAAAAAAAAGAAAATTCTCCCCGAATCATATTACGCTACAATACAGAACAAAGAATAACCTAATTAGAAGAAGTGCGCGCTATTTGTCTCGGAGAAGTCGTGTTCGCGGAGTTCAAGGATAAAGTTTTGATAATAAATGAAATAAATGAAATATTTGGGATCCATGTCATATTTCTATGTCTATTTGACCGCTGATTCTATACCGGGCCAACTTACACAGTTTATAATAATAAAACTTAAGTTCTATTAAAATCTTAACAAAGAAGAAGAAATGTTTGCCAATTAATACAGGTAAACGTTGAAATTTCTTTTTCAACGGACGTTAATTGGACTGCACAGCTAAATCTTTGATGCCGTATACGCAATTGAGGTGTTAATCAAGCACGAAACAAATACGAAGCAATCCTCTAGATCTTGATTAGTATCTTTTTCATTTTTTTCTTCTAATTGTTCATTTAGTCAAAACGGTTACTAATCTAAGAACCTCATATCATTCAATCTCTATTCTAGCTGAATTTCTATTCTATTGTAGCTGAATTTATTTGAATATTCAAATAAGAAACGTGGTCGGCAAGGCCTTGGATATAAACTTTTGAACGGCCCAATTAGGAAAGTTTTTATCAATTTTTTAGAAACTTCAGCTCTTTAATTAAAACAAAAATGCAAAAAAGCAACCAGATTACAGTTATAAATTTTAGAGATTATGTGAGAGAAGCACGGACACGATCCAGGTCCTTAATGGGAGATATCATTGGAACGGCTTAAGAACAACTGTCAAGCACATTCAAATAAAAAAAATGATTCTTATATCAAAAAAAAAAAAAAAATAATAATAACAGCATCAGAGCCATTCTTAGGAGGCATGTGTCCTTTAAGGGATGCTGCAATAGGCAGTATGGCACTGTTTTTGAGGGGCGAGAGTTTATATAAAATGATTCAATTTTTTCAAAGAAAAATGAATTCCTTTTAACTAAGTGAAACTCCCCCGTGCTTCTCTATATAACACTAAATATAACACTCAGTATCAGAGTTTAGGAAATCAATTCTTTCGAACATTGCACATTTCGCCATGCCCACAATCACTTTATCATTTTTCAATTTTCGGCCATTTTAGGCGAACAAAAATGTAATTTTCTGAAAAATTTACGTTCCCCCTGAAACTAATCAAATATATTTACGTACATATGTATGTATGTTTCGGTTCTAACGTTTTTTTTTTTTTTTTAAGCACAACGAAGTAAGTATATCGTCACCTTTCTGTGGTAGATGTGAAAAGTGCAACCGTTAGCGTTAATTTTTTTTTTTCTGATCGAAACAGAAATACAATCTGAAATGCAAGCGAAACTTTATATAGCTGGATTAAAAAAGACAAGAAAGCAATTTTATCGGCTCAGACCGCATCACTTGTTACTTACCATGCATTAGTTATTGTTTTATGTTTTAACTAATGCCATGTTGCTCATTATTAAACATATTTGGATCCTAAGCTATTGGTTTAAATAAAGACATTAAGTAGCGTGGCGCCTGCCATCGTAGAGACTATGGTCATTCAGTCATTTAAAATATGGAGAAACATAGTCTAGTTAACGCAATCTACAAATTTTGTAATGAAACTCCAAATTGGAGGAAATAGGCCCACACTAAGGAGCCCATGTAGCACATGTCACAAATAGCAGCAGAAATAATGACAGAAACCACGCGTGGAAAGCAATACCAAATATTCCGGACTTTGGTAAATGAGGGCGAACGTAGAACGATTCGCTGACTTAGAGGAAATGTATTTCCAGTTAATTTAGTTCTTATAGGTTAATTTTGTTTGCGTCATGGTCATGACTTCAGTAGGAGTTGTTTGCGTGGTTATATAATGCGCCTCAAGAAGCAATTATCTATTGAAGCCTTTGACCAATACCATGTCCTCAATTTCATTTCTCAATTTCGGCTAAAAGGGCACACGAAGCTGCTCAATGACAGTTCGATGAGCACAAACAACCGCGTAAATCAACGGATAGGCGGAAGATGGATCGTAAGGTGGATAGGCACACACATTTTGGCCAATGGACGCCCAGATGCGCAAATTGTTGACTGTACATATATATATATATATAAATATAGATATATGAAGAGGCGGACAGATGGGTAGATAGAGGAAGGTGCTGTCTAACGAACGTGTAGCCAGAAAATCGGGCGACTAATTAAGGGTAGAAAGAGAGATGGACGTAAGGACGCAGGAAGTGAATACCGAGACGATGGCAAAAGATCCGGACAAATGACCGAATACGTGTATTAAATATTGCAGCATTGAAAACCTTTACTTTACTTATTGCAAAACAATGTCGTTCGTCTCTGAAGGTTACAAACGCAATGATAGTATATCTGTACCGCAATCTTTCAGCGATAAATGTGATATATATGCGTACGTAGCCATATATACATATATGTATGTCTACTTAACAGTAATTGTGTCATTGGAGACAATTTTTGCTTTAGCAATGAGCCCAACCCTTATTGACACACACACAAACATACACACACACACACACACCCACATCTTTAATCATAATCATCTCTTTTTCACTTTTTTTTTTTTGTTATTTCTCACAATACGACACAGAACACGAAAATATTTCAGCAATTATTTAAAATTTATTATAATAAAAGCAAATGCACACAAGTAAAATCAAACGAATGTGCTGAGCAGCAGTTTTCTTCATACATTGTATGGACGATTGTCGTCCGTATGCTGCTAAATTGATCGTGAAGTTTACCAAATACTTTCGCGTTCGCACTGTGCCTTGAATGAAGAAGAAGGTAAATTTTTAAAATGTATTCGTCAGCTTGAGTAATATTATCTGAGTACATTTTCTTTGATTGCATTGGAAAACTTTTCAATGCAATAGTCAATGATATCCATGCACTTAAAGGGCACTCGATATTCGTTACGAGCTGGTTATAGGTTGGTTTTTTGTTATACGATTTCTGGTTTGGTTTTGTTTACAATAAGTCCTTATTTTCCGCATACGAACAATAAAAATAATAATAATTTAAACAAAAAAAAAAAAAAGAAGAAGAAGAAGAAGAAGAAAAGTAATGAGTCATCATCAACTCAACATCAACTAAAGCGCCAACCCAAGCAAATAAACAATCAAACAAGCAATACCAGCAGAAAAAGAGCAGAGAATATCATGCAATGAACTTTTAGCAAAACTCATGCATGCATTATGCATTATGCGTACGGTTTGGTTCGGTCTAATCGTTTGCCTGTGACGTTCACTAGATACGAAATAAGTTTTTCTTTTTTTGCTTTCGAGTCCAGATACAATGGATGAAGAAAACGTAGAAGAGAGGAAGTGTATGTGATGTATATGTAAATGCATACAAGGGTGTTATTTGTAGTCTTGGGCGAAGCACGCAACCATGTGCACATGCATTGTAAAGGAAAATCAAGAGCAACAATGAATCTCTTGTTCTTCTCTCTATGAGCGCATTAATGTAGCGTATTTAAGTGCTTTTTTCCTTTCGCCTAAAGTTAAGAAAAACTAAAACTAAAAACTAACCCCAGATGGAAGTAAGCCAAAAGGCATTAAATATAGGCAAACATACACGCACACACCTGCAGCTTTATTTTTTTGAATTTTGAATGCCACGACAACCGGAAAGAACCCTCTTGTATAAAAATCTCTCTCTATATATATATATCTATATGTTTAGATATGTAAACTAAACGATGAATACATACATTATGTACGTCTTGTATATACTTATATATATATATATCTGTGTATAAACAAACCGCCACTATTACTGAACGCTTTGTTAAAATACATGCATATATATATATATATACATATATATATATATATATATATATGTACACTTGCGCATACACATAAGCGCACACGCACACACAAATATACAACTGGCTGACTGACTCTGGCTGGCTTTATACTCGATTGTTTGTTTGGGCCTCCATGGAAAGTCAAATGCTTTACCAGACATCAGTTTTTATTTATGTCAAGTCCAAAGCGGTCGATTTACATCAAACGTTAAATAAGATTTGCTCATACATGTGCACATATATAGATATTTAAAAACATATATATGCGTATAGTATATATGACATATAGCAAGACGAAAAATATTAACTGAAACTATATATATATAAAAATAAAAGAGACGTCTAAGTGTGCTTATGTTTATGTTTTCGAGTGCAAAGTAAAAGCCACGAAATTTTGCTTTCTGTCTTTAATATAAAAAAATAAATAAATAAAAAAAACAAGAAACTCCTAGAAAATAAGCAACAATAAAAAGGAGGATAACAATGTTGCATTTAAACCAATTTTGTGCACTTTTATTAAATTTAATTTTTGTGTTAATTTCAACACCAGACATAATAGGTGAGAGCAATTGAAGAGAGATTTCAACACCACTTTCTTTTAAATTCAACAAAAAAAAATTACATTTTTCATTTTGTAACTAAAAAATGTTACAGTTTGTCTTTAGACGAATATTTTGCATTTCTCCTATCTTAAGAGCTTTTGATCGTCGTGAGTGGGTTCCACTTGGGACCACTTTCCCTTAGGACTACAACCTCGCTGCTTGATGTGGAACATATTGAAACAATTTTTTTATGGGCGTTTCAAACTTTTTTGTAAAATTTATTTATAATTGCAAAGCAGACATATACATCTATATATATGTATATTGAAAATGTCACCCATACCCAACGGTACAAATACGAGGGGCATATCCAAACCAATTCGGGATACCTTCCAGAACGATAATTGCTTACGACTAAGTGTGATTAGAGGAAAGTCTTTTATTATTTTCAAAAATTACGATTCTGAAGAGCCGAAAGCCGGTACTTTGAAAAGGCCTTAGAACGCGTTCATACTAATACTCTCAACGAGATGTTACACCTTTTTTCTATTTCCTGTTCCTCCACATTCTTCCGTTTCCTTCCATTCGCCCATTCTCTCCTATCGCTCGTTTCCCCACTATCACTACATTTTTTCTATTTCTCCCCATTTTCCCATTTTCGCTGTTTATATTATTGTATCCACAATCCTCTTGCTTGTACATGGATCTGGAAGTTCTGTATAGCGACTTAGCATAAAGGAAAGTTATTACGTATATTATTATATGCAATATACGTTGTAAACGTGGTATGGGTGGGGGTTTAGTGCATTTAACGAACACAATGACACCTTTGTCCTTGAGCGATGGATAATAAAAATTATAAGTTAAACAAAAATATTAACGGCATTATTAACCATAAATAAGTAAATGGAAGAAAAATAAACAACAAATGAGCAAAACCTCAACTCCCTTGGGATATACATATCTAAACATAATTTTTACATATCATTGAACAGAAAAAGGGGGAGTTTTTCCCTTTATGTGCTTCGTGCTTTCAAGCGTATCTGTTCTTTTCCGCTGCATGTGTGTGCTTGTATACATCCGTGCATTACCATCATCGCACGATATTGCGAAACAAATCCCATAAATTTGATATGACCCAGAAACGAAGAAATAGGAAAAGAATGTAGAAAAGAGCGTCTCCCTCCACCTTTTTAATTAACTCAAGCGTATGCATTCGTGTGTATGTGCTTATGCACATGTGCAATAGTAATAGTCTTATTATATTCATAATATTCTTTTCGATAACTTTAATATTTCGAAAATGCCTCTTGCATATGTCGAATTGCTTCGTACGCTTCAATAGGTTACTTTTCAACTAACAACAACTTCGGAAGTGCATAAGGCATTAAAAAGAAAAAAGAAAAGTTTATTAATGCAATCGCACCGCACGAAATTATTAGCATGAAATACAAATTTTATCATCTGTATGTTATTAACCTGGGCCTTCGATTTTCAATTTGACTTGGCAATCCTATGCAAAAGATAAACTTTCAAGTTACCGGCATTCTCTTTTATTCTATATTCTCCCGCGCTTGAAAAAACAAGAATCAAAAAAAATTATTTGTGATATTCAAAATTCTTCAAGAAAATTGGTTAAAAATTAGTTCATTAGTTATTGTTCTAGATCTTCTACCTTAAGTGCCTTAAGTTTTCACAAGAAAAGTGCTGCTTTTGCATAAGTCCGAGCCGCTTGGAAATATTGTTGATATATATATATACGTAGAAATGCCACGCGAATTTATGAAAAGGAAGAGAGCCGCAAATAATAATGGCAGCCAAAGGAACGGACCTAAGCCTAAAGTGAAGCGCGGGGAGGTTTTTGCATTGCCATTGCCCGTGAGATCACATGTGCCGGGACGGGTATTGGTATGCGGTCAGGGAGATATGGGACAATTGGGTTTGGGAGACGATGAATCCAAATTCGAAAGGAAGCTTCCTGCTTTAATTGAAATTGTGAAAGATGTGGTCGACATCACAGCTGGCGCTATGCATAATCTCCTACTGACAGAAGAGGGTCATGTATACTCATTTGGTTGCAATGATGAGGGTGATTGTTTTTTTTTTGCTTTTCTCGTCTTTTCCTTCTTTTTCTTCCTATCTCATTTACTTACTCTCTAACGTTGTGAAATTCGAAATTCGCTCATTTAGCAAGCGTAATGAATTCAGCCTTAATTATTTTAAAAACAACTCCTCTTCCTTTAGGTGCTTTAGGTCGTGATAGCAATGAGGACGGTTCAGAATTTGTACCGCAAAAAGTTGATTTACCAGACAAAGTTCTAAAAATCTCCGCGGGTGATTCGCATTCCGCTTGCTTGCTAGAAGATGGACGGGCATATGCCTGGGGTTCATTTCGCGACTCCCACGGCAATATGGGCCTAACATTGGAAGGGATTCAGCGTTCGCCTATTGACATTTTACCGGGAATACGTTGCTGTGATGTTGCCTCCGGCGCGAATCACTTGGTGATATTGAGTTGCACGGGAACGGTATATACGGTGGGTTGTGGAGAACAAGGCCAGTTGGGTCGAGTGTCTCTAAGAAGCGCTTCAGGACAAGGAAGGCGTGGTAAAGTAGAACTACTGAGTCCTAAGCAAGTTGTAATAAAGAAAAGAGGTGCTAAGCCTATAGAAGCCATTTGGGCGACTTCATATTGCACTTTTCTTAAAGAATCGGAGACTGGTAATATGTGGGCTTTCGGCTTAAATAATTACAAACAGCTAGCGTGCCCTGAAGACATATCGCCCGTTAGCTGTCCGATAAGCATTAATTGGGATCAGGTTTCACAAATAGCTGGTGGCCAACATCATACTTTGCTATTGAGGGATGACGGTATCGTGCAGGTTGTAGGTCGTAAAGAATACGGTCGTTTGGGTTTAGGGCCTGCTAACGCGGATGCTACCGAGTTGACAACCATATCGGTTTTGGCACAACAAGACATTGTTCATATTTCCTGCGGCGATGCGCAATCATTTGCATTGACCAGTGATGGCGGATTATATGCGTGGGGCATGGGTTCCACTCATCAGTTGGGAACTGGATCGGACGAAGACGCGCTCGAGCCTACTTTAATTGAAAGTAAGCAAACTGACGGTAAGCGAATACTTAAAGCTTCTGGTGGTGCTCAGCATACTATATTTCTCGTGGAAAATGGAATTCCATTGAATGATGCTGACAAAGTCAAAGTGGCAGGGAAGAAAGGCAAAAATATTAAAAATTCTGGAACTAATGCAAAGAAAACAAAAGAAAATAATCGACTATCTCAAGAGATGGCTACAAATATTAGAGAAGACCAGGAGGAAACCTCTGCTGCAGAAAAGGAATCTTCGGCGCACGTCTTAGGCCTGTCCACAAAGACTAGACGCAAATAGTGATTACTAATACTAAGACGATAGGAAGTTGATAGGAAGTCTTTTATAGTCACCTTCCTTGCTTCTGGAAGGTAATGAATGAAAGATTTACTTCCTTTTCATTTTTCTTCTTTTGGTTCTTTTCATATGTTTCCCATTTTTTGTGTTTATTTTTGTTTCTTTTAAACACACACCACTTCTTCATTATTCATTACGAAAAATGATGAGTTTAGTTGCAGCTCAAGTTGAACTTGCTACGAAAACCGTAACTTTACATTCTTAAAACTATCTACAATAGAAAATGTAAAGACATTTTGTTTACTGCTTATTTTTATATGAAATCTTTTTTTTAAGTTTTTGTCTTAAGAAACGAATTTGTTTTGTTTTTTGTTGATATTCTTTTGTTTTGAATTAATTGTAATTGACGTTAATAAAAACGATAGATTTTTCTAGATTCTACACCACTTACTAAGCTAATTCTGTTATTCGAGAAAATGCGTTAAATTGGTCGGCTGAAGTTACGCGGATGGACGGAGAAACGACTCTGTCAATTCTTTCGACCAAATCTCAACTAAACAAAGCATGTCATTAGGTTTTCCCAAAATTATTGGTCTCGCTGTCAGCGTATTCTGCCCATTTCCTGAGGGCAGCCTGTAAACGACATATTTAAATGACCGCGAGGTCTATCAAAATGTTGAATATTCCCCAATCTCCGGACTTATGTGTGTATATAAAGGATTGGGGACTCTTCCAAGCTTATTGACCTATCAGCCACTGAAAGATTATGAAGACCGCAATCCAGATTGCAGGCTAATTTTATTCAAACATTTGGAAGATTTGCTTCGCTGTTATTATTCACTGAGTCTTGGTTGACATGTTTATTTCGCAAGGGTAACATAAATCCGAAATAGTGTACATTTTTGTAATATGCGCGAAGTGAGAGACTTTCCGCAAGATTGCAGAGATTGCCTGCCTAAACTTCTCTTGCTTTCATTGAGTAAAAGTTAATATTTTTTTCTTGTTTGAAAATCTCGATGGCTTGCAGCAGTACTTGTATGAATAGAAATATGTGACACTTCCTTAAACTTGTGTATGGCTTTTACCGATAATCACCAAGTTTTCGTTGAAATGTTTTTCCATTTCTGCAAAACATAAACTATGGCCAAACGGGGATAGCAAGTGACACGAGGCCATGGGAAAGAAATTATGTAATATAATGAATTTCTAAAACTGGAAAAAAATCGCACTTTCTCTGATTTTACTGCAGTCCAATTCGTGCAAAATCAAACTCGTTCCCTTTCACCGAACTTTAGGTAAAGACCTCAGCTTTCCCAACAAATCTAATCAATAACCAAATTTTCCTAAATGGACATATCGTGTATTCCATACATTTCTTATGAAATTTGGTGGCGCAAGTCCTAATCCATACCAAAAATTAACTTTAATGATTTGTTATATTTTATGTGAAGTCTTTGAGATTAATCCCATTTCCACCTAACTTCGGGATTTGTGCTCATAACTCGCATTCCATAAGCTTGCAACAGACAGAGAGGTAAATTCTGCTGCCGATATTGTCTCTCTCGTTCTTACAATTTATTATGTGTGGAATATAAAAGATGTAACCTAGAAAAAATATGGATTTCATCTGACCTTGAACGAAACAAAGGTGAAAAGAATTTTCGACGCTGTGCACATAATAAGTTTTGTGCTGAATTTTCCACGATGAAGATAACATTGCAAGCTATTCTCTGCTTAGCTATTTACATGCCATTGTGCTGTGCTGTGTTAATGCTGCTGAAATTGTTCTTTTCAACTTAAGCTTCCTATAGCGCACTAACTATATAGGGAAGTAAACTCATTTTATCTTTACGTTTGTAAATGTGTTTGTAAGAGGAATTCTTTAGAAATTTCATAAATTCTTAAAACTGTGAAATATTGATCCGATGAAGTCATTGTAAGTCTTTTCGTCCCCGTGTTCACATGTTATAGTTTAGGTAGGAAAAGTTGCGACATGCTAACCTCGCTTGAAAATAAGAGTAGACGCGTTGAAAATGTCTCCACAACAGCAAATGCAGAAAAGAAAATGTGAAGACCGACCCTTTAATAGAAACTCGATTCGTTTAAATAATTTAAATAATTCTTAATAATTCTTAGAATTTGGTAAGGGTTCAAGCTGCTTGTAGGAAGATATTCAACTGTCTTTTTTTTTTTGATGACCGGGGATATCGCCTTTTACGTGTAACACGGTAACGGCCAGAAACAAGAAAAGAGGAAAGGGAAAGACACCGTGTGAATGCTCACTATAGCTGCTACCAAAGTAAGTTCTATTGCATGGAGATGTGAACCCGCGAATACTACCTTCTTAACAGCGATGCTTACCCACTAGTTTGAGAGTCTGATCCTATATCAGCTTGTGAGGCGATTTTAACCTGCCTACCTGCTCAACTATTCTAAATCTATTGACAAATTTTGACTGGCTTTCAACAAAGACGTCATTTTTTGAAAGGAAATTTAACAAAAAGATAACCAACAAATACTTGAATGAAAAAAAAAAACAGGCCTGCGCTTGATTTAACATCAAAACAAAAGCCTTTCACCAGCTTTCATCCTTGAAAGTAAAAAGAGAAAAATCAATATTTAAATTTTTCCCACAAGTTTTGAAGATTTGAAGCAAATGTTAACATAAAATATGCGCGCCCATAAACATATGTATGTGTGTGAATTTTTATTTACATAAATTTTCGAACCGTCTGAATACCGAACGATCGAATATAAGCGAAAGATAAAGAAAACAAAAGTTTTTATTTATTTATTTTTTTGATTAATTGAATCTCATAATCATTTATTAATATTCACATAAACTGGTGACTGTACTCGTTGGTGGTTTTTTCAATTATTTCCTATACACTTTGTTATGCTTTTTGAGGAACAATGGGTTTCCCTTTTACTCTTTGCATAGATTGATTGTAAATAGAAAATTGATACTGTTAAGCAACACAATTGCATTTGGTTGCGGCCGAATCTTTTCATACCCACTGCCTCTATCGGTTAAATTAAATTTCCATGCTCTATAAAATTGAGTGGGCGTAACTGGTTTCTTACATTTTTCGTAGAATATACGTTGAAATCTTTATCGTGTGGCTGCTGCAGTTTATGCGTAGTTAGTACAGATATTATGTACATAGATAGGCGGGCGGAGAGATGAACAGACGAACAACTGGAGCGGACAGTCGGATTCCGAATTTGACGCTGCGTGAGGATATAATGTGTATATTTTGTGGTGTGCTGAGGTGGAAGGTTTTACAAAATAATAATATTTTGAAACAGCAGAATATTTATTGCCTGCGCATGACCGATTCTTTCCATTTTTGTACAAACACTACAGAACTGCCCACAGAATATAAGTGGACATTTTTACAGCTTTATCTGCTGTAGCTTTTGAGTAATGAGCTGAAAGCCCATCTTTTTTTTTTCGCTTTTGAAAACGGATTTGTTCTCAATTTACGTCGCCTTGTATGTGCGCCCATCGGCCGACTCGGCTTATTTTCAAGAACTTTCAATGTTTTTTCCGATAGTTTTTTTTTGCGGGCAGAAGAATATCTACGTTGCACGAGCGAACGGACAGACATGTTTAAATCCATTCAGAATTCGACCCCGATCAAGACTATGCACACTTTGGGGTCACGTGGAGTCTGAAGCTCTATTCCGGGTTTCTTCACAAAATGAATGTGTCGCCGCCCTCCGTTGATGGGTATAAAAGTGACTTTATTTGTATCCCAAGTTTAGTGTTAAAGAAACCGCTCATGTATTTATCCATCTGTCGACCAAGAATAATCGCGATACATATACCTTAAACATGTTGACAAAAAAGTATCAGGAGGTTTCTAATTAAAAAGCTTACGATAAAATCAACGGCAAGTGTTATCCATTTTATTTGATTATATATAGATTATCTTATGTCGATTTTCAAACTGGGGACTGACAACCGATATTTTATTTGCTGATTTCTAACTTTTCTGCTACTGTTGTGTCTTATGGCAATTACAGTTGAATGGCTAGCGGTCCGAAGGCTGATGTCAATGCATCTACCAAGAATAAAAATTTATTTTTATGAGTTCGCCTATTGAATTATGTATTTCCCGGCATTTTCTTTACCCTTCCGTGGGAGGTGAAGCATGAAACATGTAAGACTTTGTGTTCGGTATTGGCGACAACGGCTGCATCTTTTACCATAAAGGTTCTCAAGGGAAAAAATTAGATAGAATATTAGCACTTTGTGTGAGAACAAATGATTGGACTTGTCCGCCATCCAATTATTCTGACAAGTATGTGTAAACATTATTTATTTATAAAAATATTTTCTTTCTTTGCTTGGATGATTAACCTTTGGTATTTAAATAGTGGACAATCACAAAAAAGTCAAAATTTTACAAAAATCTCTGCGCACTTTGCTATGTGCGTATGATTTTTTTTTTTTTTTTAGATCCGTATTTGCACGAATTAACGTACGAGTGTCACAGCTGCGGTGCAGCCATTTTTAAAAGTTTTTCAAAAATAATTTTTTTACTGCTTGTGTTTATCCAAATTTTTTACTCCCAAAATTTATTTGTTTGGCCTAAATTAATTATAATAACTAGTACGATAATTGTATAGGGTCACGACCGACTCTTTGTTACCCATCACCGAGTAAAAATGGGAAAAAAATAATTTTGGAAATATAGATGGTCTACGTGGTGCATTTTACTAGTAACTAGAAAAAACACTAAAAGCAAAGGTGTTCGCAAATTTTGTTGCAAAGACATGTGGCTATTGTGCTTTTGTCTTTCGACCGGCCTGGATCATTTTCAAATATTTTCGCATATTTTTTCAATATTGTCGCATTAGGCGACATCTTCATTTTTGCGAACGGGCAAATATCGCAGATATTAGAAGGTTGGACGGACAGACGGATAGGCAAACAAGCAGATGGATATGCTTAGGTGCATTCCGTATTTGAAACTGGCCAAGAATTTTTATACTTTACAGAAGTTTTGAAGCTCCTTCTGCTTGTTATAAAGGTAGTGAACTCAATTTGTACCACTACTGTACCAGTACTGCAACATCTCCTATGAAATATGCGTTCGAATTTTTTTGCATTTATCTCCTGTTGATGAGTAGAGAGCAAGAAATCAATTTTTTATTCCTTGTGAATAACAGATACGTTCTCAGTTTACGTGGTACTACAGGCGTCCAAGAATTTCCAATGTTTTTGTCAAATTTGAGGGCGATAAATTTTTGCGGCCAATAATATGTTTACAATTACACAGATGGGCAAGTGGACAGAGGAGAAATAGACGTGGTTAAATCGGTTCAGAATTTGATTTGATGCTGATCAAGAAATATTTGTTGTAACTCTTCACACTCCATATTTAAACTAATGTATTTTACAGGTAAAAAGTTACAATTTTTGATCTGTTGTGGACGTGGTTGTAAACGGATCATGATAGTTTGAAGAAATAATCTATGGTCCTCAATTGGGTTTTCTGTTTCAATTTTCTATTTTTCGTGAGCACAATGCGACGGATGGGTAGAAAGACAAGTTAAGACCCTCATGAACAAGATTTAACAAATGACAAGCAAGTAGATAGATAGAACAAGTGGCCAGACAGATAAACGAATAGATGGCCAAAGGGACAGATGGACATAGCTATGTACAAAGAAATAGATGGACAAACGGACAGATGGATGAACAGACAGATGAGCAAACGGGTAAATTCAGAAAGAAATGGAACTTCAAATCTGCATTTTTATATGTTACACAAGCGAACAAACAAATCTAGGATATCCTTTTCTTCCGTGATGTGTATAACCACAGATTTGTTGAATTGGTAGCAATAACTACGCCTTAAGTATAGCAATCTAGAATTGCGTACACGCCAGTTAAGCTTCAATGGCATTTCCATAATTAACAAAATGCCTTTCAAGTTTATATATCGCTCTAAGAAGCCCGACGGACAGATAGACAGCCCGAAGATCTTTTCAAGAATAAAAGTATCGCATTTTTATTTCAACATTACCGATTGCCTGTAATGCTCAATTTGTCGTTGGCGCTGACGTTGGCTTCCGACAAAGTTGTACGTGCACGATTTTGCGCTGAACTGAACTGTGCTCTGTTTTGCAAAGAGCATTAAATTTGTCTGAGTCAACATTTTCGAATACTAAAATCCACATCGTTAATTATTTTCGAACAACTAAAGATAACGGTGAACACGATGGAGTCACTTAAAGTCGTATATAATCCTTTTGGTCTTTTCCCCCCTTCCATTCCGTTAAAATATCATATTTTGAACGTGACTAAATGTAAATGTTTAGCACGAAAAAAAAAAAAAAACATGCAACACCAAAAACAATAACAACAGCAGGAGCACAAAAAATTTTTAAATATTGGAAAACTACATTCTGACATCATCGTATTCAACCGCACGTGTGTGTGTGCATATGGATGTGTGGCTATGTAGATGGAAACAAACAAGCATAGGCCGACAAAATAAAGAGACAAACAGGCCCATAAATACAACGCATTAGGAATGATAAAATTTCGACATTCGCGAGTATGAATGAAACAAAAAAAAAGAAAGAGGAAAGCAATAGAAATATATATATATGTGTGTGTGTGTTTATGCGCGCACGTTTGGCATATTTTAAGCATAAAATTTACATAGAAATATGCTTATAAGCGCACATATCTGAATAACTTTTGTACCATTGGAGAGCATTGTTTCCGAGAATGTCACACAACTACATTGATTTTTGCAATATTCGAAAAATTATCATTGATATCATTGATCGGTATAAGTATAGGACTTGGAGCTATTATTGCTATGATGAAAAGGATAATAAGGGCTTAAAGAAACTTAACATTTTTAAAGAACTAGTACACTAAGGTAACCGTATGTTTGGGAACCCCTGATGTACGATATTTGCTAAAGCATTTATAGAAACAAACAAAAAAAAAAAAAAAAGACAAGAAAAAAGTTATTCATTAGAATGCTTAGAATAGCGAATAATAATAGCAGCAACGACACCATCACCCAACTTATGCCATCAGCAACATATTAATTAATCTACGGTACTAGATTTTCTAATAATGTACTACACTTGCATAAAAACTACATGTACGCGTATGTGTTGATATGGGACTCATTCATGCATGACTATCGTATTTCAAATATTTCGCTTCTTTTTTTTCAATTATGCAAATTTCTATTGTTTGTTTGTTTGTTTGTTTGTTTGTTTGTTTATTTATTATTCAGTTGGTTGTCTTTCCATTCAAATATCATTCCAGGAATTGAGGCTGCAGATGATAAAAAAGGCAATTCACCGAAACCGCTATCCGTTGTCACCGATAGCAAACAATCCGTTGATTTCGATTACGACGATGACGATGATACGTCGAGCGGCGTGAAAACGCCAAAATCAACAATTATTCCGTATTTTGAGCACAATGTGAAGACCGTCTATCTAACCGGAGAGGATAATGTTACCCTTGCTTGCTTACCCAAAAATTTTAATGGTAAAGATATAAAAAAAAAACAAAAAAAATGCAATAAACTTGAATTAATTTAATCCAGACAAGCTCAGGAGGTCTAAAGACATTAAAGAAATTTACTACAGACAGCAGTAAAGCTAGGCGAATGCGATTCTGTAAGCCACGGCGTATCTAAAGATGTACAATTTTAATAGTTTGGCGGGTTGGATAACGTACACTAACGTAAAGGAAACGAACTATCAACGTTTTCCGAATATAATTTTGGGGCCTTGTCAAATAAGTGCCGGGATTTTTCAATGCTAAACTTTTCATTAATAGTTGCATGATATGCTTTTATGCCTCACTTTCTTTTAATCGTCAAACATAAGCATTAAACGCCAAAAGAAAAGTAGGACCGTTTAGAAAGAAGTGCAGACTTGCGAAAACTTGTACTGCACCTTGTCGAGGAATTCGTTTTATCAGTTTAGCTAAAAGCTTCGCAGAGACAACAAATTCATTTTTAGTATCATTTATAAAAGAATTTTGCTTTCTTCTGAAAGTGATCATTTTTAAGACGCTGCCTCAGTTCTAGAAGACTTTGAATTGAAATCTCTTACAAAGGATCGAAGTTATATTGGGAAAAGTGACAATTTCAAATTGTGTCTCCCGGCTGCGGACAATATTGATTTCAAATTTATTACCGAGAAATGCGATTGAATAATTTAGAGAGTGAAGCAGATAGAAATTTCTCGCAATAAACAATGAGAATATGACGACAAATGATATGAGAAGATATCGATTTAAATGTCTGCTGCGCGGTTATATAGTCGACAATCTGAACGGAATCAACACTCTATATAGAATCAATCCGGGAAATTATAGTTAAAAACTATAATAAAACATTATTGACGCCCGGACTGTTAAACACCCTATACAACTTCGTCTAAAACAATTGTTTATTATTATTATTTTTTTTTTTTTGGTGCTGAAACATCCAAAATTGTACATTGCTCCAATGTAAGACCCCACTTCTCCTTGGGATCCTAATGCAGGATCCAAACCGTGAACTGATATGGTCCAAATTTTATGTTCTTGTCGAAGACCTTATTAGTCTTTAGCTACTTTCGTCACGAAGTACTAAAGGGGATTTATATGTCAAAAAATTTTTATAATAAAGTACCAGAAATTAAACATTTTCGCCTTTTAAAGATTTAATTGTAGCAGTAGGAAGTAGGTTGGAAGGGGGTTCATAAAATCGGTTCATACCGTCCAAATATTTCTTAAGAATTTTTCAGGAAGCGTCGTGAAAGTAGTCTAGTCAGTGTACTTACAATGTATTTACAACAAAATTTATCGTTGGATTATACTACGCTACTATACAAAATTTGATCAAAATATCTTAAAAATATATAACATAGACAGACAGATTTAGGAAATGAATCTTTCAAGAACAATTCCAAAAAATATGGCCGGACCGACGGACAAACTTAAATCGATGCATGAAATGGATCTAAATCGATCGGTATAGTAGAATGTCGGCCTAACTTAAGTAGTATAGCGTTTTACATACATCCGCACACACTTAATTTACACTTAACTAAGAGCGGTATACAATATAACGACATTCACTTCGCCTATTCGACTCTTGACTGTGTTAATGAGATACTACTGTTCGAAGACTTATCCGCAGAACTTTTTTACTTATAATGAATTATGTGTTTTAAATATAATCGTTCTTATTGCAGACAGTCAGCATATAATCCTGTGGTACAAGGACGAATCTCCAATAACGAACGGCAATACTATTGTAAGTGTTGGCTACGAAATCGATAATAAATCTCGTTTAACCATTTTGAACTACAATAAAGAATCATCCGGTAATTTTTCTTGTGCGATTATGCCAAGCGATGTGCGTCAATATTTTGTTTTTAAGCCACAAAGTGAAACACCAGAGAATATCGTAGAAAAAACCAACGGAGGTGACACTAAACAGATCAGTCAGATAGCAATCAAATTGATAGCTTTTCTGACTGCAATTAAACATTATTATGGAATTGAAAAATTTTAAATAAACATTATCATAAGGTACAGAAAAACAGCACACGAAAACTAAATGAACAAAAGAAAGACAGACAAGTAAAAGAATTGAAATGATTTCGGTTAGCGGTAAAGTGCGTTAAGTAAGTAATTTTTAAATGCGATAATTTTGGCATTGAAGACAAGAAAACTTGAAATTGTTAAGAAATTTTCAAATTTTCAAAATTGTTTTATTTTTATTTTTTTAACTTACATAAATGTAAAAAATTTTTAACGTTTTAGTTTATTTTGTTTTTTTATTTCATTTTTTTATTTAATTAAAGAACCAACAAATTTTATTCATCTGTGCCTGCCCAAGTATTTAATATTTAAAGCGTTTTTTCCTTTTTTGTTGATTTAGCAAAAAAAAAAAAAAAACAAAAAGCAAAAAAAAGGAACAAGAATAATAAGTAATAATAATAATAATACTAAAAGAAACTTTGTTATTTTTTTTGTAGCCAATTCTTATACATGTGCAAACATTCTCATACACACACATATACAACAAGTAGAATGTCAATAGCGTTAATGTATAAAAACACATGAATGTATGTATATTTTGTATGTTTGTATGCCAAAGATTATTTAGAGTGCCTCCATATTTTGCATTTTTATACACATATACATATACAAGATCCTGATCAGAAACATTTATATATATTATAAGTTTTAAAAGATTGGAGCTTAAATTTTTTATGAATTAATAATCTTTTTGTAACATGTTTACTTAATTCTTATGTAAGCTCAACCTTTAATTTCTTTTTATTATAGAAGATATTGATGAGATTAACTTAAGTCTAAGGGTGCAAAGGAACCAAACTTGAAAATATTTTTGGAAACAAATACGAAATCCAGTGTGCAAAATGCTAAGGCAATGTTAATTTTAGTGCCTATACTCTTCCTCTCTCTCTCTCTCTCTCTCTTTATCTCTCCCTCTCTCTATCTCTGGCTCCCTTCCACTTTATTTTCTTCTCCGAATCTCATATTCATATTCTACAAATTCCTTCTATTTTTACATTTTATCAAGTTTTGATGTTAAGATGATTAACAAAATTTTGACTAAAAAGAAACAGGGTGCGGCTCTCTCTCTCTCTCTCTCTCTCTCTCTTTCTCGAAATAATAACTGAGCAGCAAGATAAATGAATACTTAAAGCACTATGACCAAAAAGTACAATGAAATTTAAAAGAAAAAATCCACAAGAAGAACGTTATGCTTTCACAAGGATATAACCTGAATAAATGCGAGTCCATTACATGCTTCGGATGTGAAACTTCAGAGACCATTAGAACACTCGAAATGGAAAGTACTAGTAAAATTTAAATAAAAGCAAACGCCATAAATTTCAATAAAATTTTCTAAGAACGTTTAAGTTGTAATCTAAACAGAGGCGTATGTAGAAGTGCTACGGATACGGGAACATTTAAACTAGTATCATTAAAAGGTAGCGGGAAATTGTTCATTTTCTTAATTCTAACGCTTTAAAGAGGATTTCATACAAAAAATATACATTTCGAAGCGACATTTGCATCTGTGATGCCAGAGCATCTAAGACACTGTAACGAAAACATGTGAACTGAATAAAATGTTTAGTCCATTATGATCCTTGGGGTACTAAACATGTTTTGTGTAACACATAATGCTTTCGACGAATATTTCGACAAAAACCGCAACTCCATTGCTGTTTTGAAGGGGTAAAGCACTGTCAGTAGGATTTTTTCGATAACTTATTGAATTTATTATTACCAAAACGAGCGCATTTTTTTTTTGATCAAAAAGGATTCTTTCCGCTTAGATACTCGTCATTTACCCAAAAGTCAATGTTCTTAAAAACCCCTACCTATTTCTCTAGATATAAATGTGTAGATACAATAATTTATCTATTTTTTAAATTAAATTTGGGTCAATTAATTTTGTAAACAAATTTATAAATTTATAAAGTACGGAGTTAAAGGCTGCCCGCCTGCATTGAAAACTCGACAACACTTGAGGTTTGAATCCGCGACCATTGAGTTGTTAGTTGCAATCCTTTGCCTGCTCACTTACTAATATGAACTTACCTTTTTTTTCCTAATACTTCAAGGCATGCCTAACAATCTCCTCACATAATATATTATTATTCTACCATCTTCGCTTCTGTCCCAAAAAAATGATCCAAAAATCTCTTTTCTTTAGGCTATTACAGTGGCTTACCCCCTTAGTATATTGAAAAAACAACCAGTAGAACATTTTATTTTGATATGTTCCGTAAATCTCATAAAACCTAAGCTGCACTATCCAATATGTTTCTGGCTTAGCGATATGTATAATGGAGACATTCACTTAAGCGACGATTCAAAATATCTTTACTCTGTGAAGACAAGGCAAACTGTCACATGAAACATTTCGCTTGTGACTTTGTTTGTATATCATCTATATTTGTTCCGATTTTCTCTCTGGTGCCAATTACTGTATTTGCAAATAATAAATTAATGAATTTTTTGTTAAAGCTGATAAAGAAAGTTTTACAAAGCGCGCATTACATTTACTCGTTCCTCTCGTATGTCCTGTCCACTAATAAAGTGCTTTACCGATGGAGAAAAGAAGTTTCACTTCACAAAGCACGTCTTGAGTTTGTAAGCATACAACGTGTAAACAGTTAATAAAAATATATATTTATCCTTAATTAGTACTTGAAAATGTTATGGAAACATGGAAAAAATACCAAACAACGTATATATCTTTTCAAAGACGTCTTACGGCGAAAACACCACATGCCTACCATTTACCTTCACTGCGAAAATCAATTTATTGCTTATCTTATTTATGCGATCACTTCACGAGTTCTAGGCCAATATATAGCTAAAGCATTTCCAAAATTCTCCAGTTGCCTACTTCTAGGCGCTACGATATCCAAAATAATAACAAAAACCTTGCATATATTTCAGTGGATGGTAGGTGTAAAAATGCATTATTTATTATCAAAAACTCTTGTGAATTATTCTTAATTAAAACTATTAATTATATGTAAAAAAAAAAAAGAAAAAATAAAAATATTAAATTCAGCTTCTATACGAATGTTATTAAAATAATCAGGAGATTATAAGTAATTATTAGAAATTTCATAAACAGCGAAACAAAATTTTTTAGTTTGTGTGCTCTGATTTAAACAATTATTAAGATATTCATATATAATGAATAAAAAATAAAAATATAAAAGACGTAATTATGTGTAATTTGTGTATAAATACAAGTGTATTTACTATAGTAGCAAACGCAAATTTACATAACCGCTCGTAGATAAATAAAATTTAAAAATTTTACTTAAGAAATTCTTATTGTTTTATTAATACGATCACAATTTGTTATAGTTAAAGTATAAATAAAATAACGGTATTTAGGGTTATTTTAAACAACCAATTATTATCGAAGACAGTTCGTGTTCGAAAAGAACTCGAAAGCTGTGAGATATAACTTCTAACTATAGCCTTAAATCATAAGAAAATCTTTCGTGATTGCCTTAGAAAATATTAATCACTTTTTATTATAATAAGAGCAGTGTGCAATTGTTTTTGGATAAGTTTGTTATTATTGTAGATCGACTATGGACTCGTTTTGAGACTTTTAATGGGAGAGACGCTTGTTGTTCTGCATTTGGAGCAACGATGAAAACTACTGCAGTAACAAATGTTCATCGAATGTTGTTCGCCACGTTTGTCTCAGAAGTTGGCGAAAAAATTAACTAGAAAGTAGATAAAGGAAAGTCCACTTCTATGCAGAAAATTGTGAACCAAAACGTGGTAGTCTGCTGGCAACAAAATTTAACGCCGAGTGGAAATTTCCACTTACTGACCACTTACTAATGCGGTGCTATTCTGAAGCTCAGATCTCGACAAAATTACATGGTGGAAAAAATGTACTAAGGTCGAAAAGTAGGTGTTGACCATTTTCGCTCCGAAACCTGGAAGTATTACACGAGAGTAATCAAAGTACTTCAACAATATATTACAAATAATGTGAGATATTTTCCTCATTAGACATATAAGAGCAATTTAAAATGTCATGATCCGTTTAGGCCGAGTTTTAGATGCCCTGCCTTCCAATCTCTTAAATATTTTCATAGCAAAGTACAAAGGTTATTAAAACCAAAAGCTTACTTTTCATGAGATTTTTTTATGGGAGCAAGCTCAACATTTGAACCGCCGTAGTCTAATTTAAGTAAAGTTCATTGCTTTTGTATGCATAACCGAAGGACGGAGGGTATATTCATTTTGTCAAAACATTTGAAACCGTCAGCAGAAATTTTTATTGGCCCTGCAAAGTATGTATCTTTTTGATCAGTATCGAATTCTTAATCGATTTAAGCAAGTCCGTCTTTCCTGTTGCCCCTCTGCGTAACGTGCGATGTAATGGTTATGCCGGCTGGAAAAATGAAGCTATTGCCCCCAAATTTGGCAGAAATATTGAACATTCTTGCATGTAAGCTCTATCTGATCATATCTTCCAGCTTCGTTCTGTGTATGTGCAAAATAATATTTTATATTTATATGGCGATATAAGGGGACAAACATTAGATGGACAGGCAAGCTTTAGAAAGTGATCGAAATTCAATTGCATTGTACACTACTTTTAAGCATTTTTTCATTTGATGGCATAATCTAAAAGCGTAATTGTTCAAGATTTTTGCTTCCAGTTTTTATTTTACAAATTGAACAAGAAATTGTTAACCTTTTGATGGTTAGGGCGTCTAGGGCTCATTTCGAAGACGCAGATTCGGTTCTTGGCGCGAGAATAAGAATTTCGTGAGTGGCGTATTCTCCACAGTCTGGAATTTACACATTCATTCATCCACGTGAATGATAAGGAAAGGATACGCCCATGCCTTTGAGATCGCCCCAACGTCGTCTAGACCTTTATAGAAAAGAAATATCCTTATCTCGAAACTTGAAGACCCAACTTTTTTCTTACACGTAATTGTTTATAAGATAAATAATCGATGAATAATGAATGTATCTTTTATTTTTAAGAGCCCCATGCACGAACCAGACTCTGTGCGCGCATCCAAGACGCAAATTGATTGCAGTATTAGTGAAATTATCCTAGAAGGAATGCTCGAAAATTGTGTGATGGGGATCATTCCTACGAGAGAAGGCACGTTGGACAGTTAAAAAATTTACCGTTTAGAATCCAATTGCATCGGAGGTACTTCGATATACGGCAGAACAGAAAGTATTAAACGTGTGTAATTAGTGTGTTGAAAACACACTTCACAGCAATTTTTCTAAAAAAAAGCGCTATAAAAGAGCGATCATAAAGTAATCCAAACAGCTTTGTACAGTGTATCTTGAAAATTGCGACCTACTGTTGAATGCAGAAATAAACGCCTGCATTTCAGGTGGACAGGTACGCCTTAATCGATTTGTGCAACTATTCTGAATGGTTTCTAAATAATAAAAAGCGCATATGTCTTTAGCCGCTTAGGTGTTGCATACAATCGCGCAAACTTAACGCACACTATACCACAAATGCCTTCCATCGAAAGACGACGTTTTTCTTTTATCTTGTAACATCCACAGAAATATATATGCCTCGTAGCCCCAATAAAGTATTTGCATTCTTGATTAACATAAGATCTAAAGTTGATTTCCGTTCCGTTCCGGTCCGTTTGTCTAGCAAATTCCGGTTAGTGCAGTCATTAGCGTACACGACGTTTGTACAAAGCCTCTGAAAGACTTATTAGGATTTATTTCGATCGGTCGGTTAATATATCGAAAATTAATAAATGGACGGATATGAAATCAATTTAAATAAAAAGTTTGCTGGAAACTAAGGCAAAATAATTAGGATAGATTAGGATTTGTGTCCATTGAGAGGTTGACACCACCTTTGAAAGTGAAAGTAAATTAAAGTAGCTGAGTAATGAAAGGTGGAAAAAAAAAAAATAAAAAATAATAATAATAAGTTCTCTTCGTATTATATTCATCACAGCAACAATGCCCCTTAAATTGTTAACCTTCATGCTGCATATCTAGATTGTATAACAAACAGATGCTGAATGTATATAAAATTACTTATCTTAGCTGTAGGTGGGAGAAAAAAACAGTTAATAAATATTTACTAACTACAAATTGTACTAACGAAATAATACACATATACACATATACAAGCGCCCGTGTAGACGCACAGACACAAACATGTACACGTTAGGCAAATAAAAATCTATCAGTTTAATGAATTGTAAAACAACATAAAACTTGTTGCGCTACATGTTGCTAACACTCTAGACGATAGATAAGCGATCTAACTCTGTGACGACGACTGGCCGTTTTAACAAACAATTGGAGGTATTTGAAGTCTTACGGACGCAATTATAATTTAGTTGAATTTTTCTATTACGTCCGTTAACACAACTTGTAATTAGTGTGCCACACCGTAGAATGTGAGTAAACAAAAAAGAAAAAGAATTTGCAAAAAAAAAAAAAAAAATCACTCGAGTAGCGTCGTTGAGGAATTATAAAATAAGTAAAACGTTATAATAAAAAAATTAAACACAACGTACAGCATTCGAAAGGCCGGCCAATGGTTGGATTATCATAATTTTAGAAAAAAAAAAAGAAAAAACGAAGCAAATAAATTTAAAAAAAAAAAGCGAAAATTAAAAATTCAGTGTCTTTTATACATTCATAGGAGTGAGAACGTTTTTAATAGTGTTGTAATCTCATATGTTAAACTCGTTTCGTTAAAATTTTAAATTTTATTTTATTTTTTTTTTTCTTTTTTGTTTTTCGATAATATTTCAAATTACATATTCACGGTTTATGTTTAAACTCACACATACGCATATACAACTGCATAAATATAAATAAATATTTATATTGAAATAAAAAAAAAGATTATTTGCATTACGTGAGTATACGAGTACGTTTGCGTACGTCGTTCAAAGTGATAATATGCAAAATAGAAAAAAAAAAAAGGAAAAAAATTTGAAAATGAAATTTGCACGATATTTGAACTAAAAAAATATTTTCATACTATTTTTAAAACAAAAACAAACAAACGCAGAATAGTTTTCAAAAGCATTTATTTACATGCACAGAAACCCAAATAGCAACATTTCTATGATATATTTTTTTTTTTTTTGTTTTTTCTGCTACTGAAGATGTTTGTCTTCGGACATAAGCAATTATAGGATGGTCGGAAAAGTTATGACGCACATTCGTTGCCCCGATTGGCCTGGAATGTGAAAAGCAAAAATTTAATATCACTGCATGTTTCTCTTTTCCCGCAACTTGCGGGCCGGTTAATGTGCATGGACTGTACTTACAACCTATGACTTGACTGTACACCTAATCCTCCGTAGAGAACTGTGAACAAAGATTGAATGAAAATTACTCAAACCCCATATCTATCTCTATCTCTTTTTTAAAATCCGGTAATGTGAAGTCAAGCGTTCAATTGTTTCTTGTAGCCACGAAAGAAACTACTGCAGCATTCGCCAAATTCATTTTTAACAGAAGAAGATGGGACGTACACATATTCTTCCCTGGTTTGAACAAGGCGTTAAGTGCAACCCTATACGTCTGTCTGTCCGTCTGCCTAGGTAACAAAAGCAATCCGAAACATAGTTCTTGCTCTCAAAGTTTCCCTTCTTCAAGGAGTTACATATTGAGTTTGTTTTTAATTCGGTCCAAGTCTCTTTCTAGCCTTGGTTGCGATTTCAAAAAAAAAAAATTTCGTCTAACAAACTTTACCCCTCACTACGATATACTTTACTGATTATGCCAATCAAAGAAATCAAACAAATTGCTTATGCTTACCAGCAGGGGTATATTAGTTTAGTTCGCGAAGTCTTGTGAAGGCAAAGAAGAGCAAATAGGTGTCAACCCCTACGTTCTTTGGATCAGCGTTAATAAAGAAATTGGTTTCCGTATCTGCAAACTTGATTACCTATATTATGATTATCGTTGTGTTGGTGATTACGAACGGACCACTGGACGAAATTTTCCTTTATTTATATAAAATTAAGAGTTGCTCTAATCACTTTGCTACACTAATCAAAAATAGATGAATTTTTCTAAATTTATATAAAAAGAGGAAAAGGACTTAAAATACGCTTCCTTACGTATGAAAGAATAGTCCTTAAGATGCATAACAATTGCAGTTTGTTGGAGGACAAAATGAACGCATGGTACATGTCGTAGAGCCACCTTGCTTTGTTCTTCTCTCGTTTCCATTCCTTGCTGTACAATCAAAGGTAACATTTAGAAGAGCAAACTAAAGCTATTCTGGAAAGATAAGTTCAGATTTAGTAAGCATGAGGCCACATCCTTGAAAAATTTATGCAAAAATATTCGCGTTAAGGAAATCGCTCGAAAATCGACCAAATTTTTCTCGACAAGTTCTAATTTTTTGGTGTTCACTAAATCATCTAATTTTTAAAATGCACAAATGTACAAATTTCATTATAATTTGTTGAAATTTGACGCAGAATTTCGACAGCAAGCTTGTTATCCATTTGGTTTGGCCAGCGAAAGATGTGCTTAAACGAGTTTACTAACTCTGAAAATCGTTGTATCCGGTTATATGTACTCGATAGATGATAATATTTCCGTTTCATGGAGAATGATCCCAAGTGATCCGAAGAGATCAGAGAAAATTTGTGTGCCAACACGCTATACTGAATTAATTTTTATTTCAATTTATTGTAAAATCTTATGTTTTGTAAGAGCTTTCGAAGTATTTTTTGGAATGGGCCCTTCCGATTCAAATGCTTCACATTCACTTTATACGTCGAAATGTTATTTCTCAGTGATCTTCCTCGAGAAATGTTAAAAATTGAATTTCATTTTTTCATATAAGGCATTTCTTTAAACGGAACGTTGAGAGCGTATGAGAAGCGGTCGTAAAAGCATCCCGATCGCATTTACTTCTCAATGGGATTCATGCTTGGCCGAAGTATGTCACTGTAGCAAAATAAGTGAAAATATTTTTAAAAATTGCGTTTAAACACAAATATACCAAAAAGCAGACGTAAGAGGGATAGACAAGTGTACTTACATCGATTGAGAAAGCGATTCAGATGTGAAAACCGATGGGTCTTTTTGGAGGTTATATAAACATGCAATGACTGCATATATCATCTGTCACAAGCAAAGTATAATTATGTATGTAAATTTTGCATACGCTATCCTTTCAAAGTCAGCGGACTTATAAACCTCTCCGGTAAGACAATCTAGGAGTGGAATGTAAATTAATAAACTGTAAGAATTCGCTCATGATCAGTAGTAGGTCCTATATAGCCACATATTTTTATTATTTATATTGCACTTGCGGAACAAGAACAAGCATGCCTGAGCCTCTGTAGAATGCTTGTGCTAGCAAGTGATGGAGATCAAAAGATTTCGTCTAAGCTGATGACGATTTTCTTTCTTTTCTTAGTTAGGTCTAAATCTGAAATCTACACGTAAGACATCGTCACTTCGTCCGACAGCTAGAGGTTTCTGTTATCCCTAATGCGCCAGTACTTTCCTGCCAATCGAATGCAATGTATGCGCATTAGTTGATTGCATTTGGCACAAAATGCTTCAATTTTGTTGTGACGAATTTCAATTTACATGTATAAGCAATCGCACACCTAAACAAACATACGCTATAATCAAATGATAAACGTTCAAATCCATGAATGAATGACATGACATGCATACAACGTACATTACGTACGTAGAAAAATGAAAAGAAAACATAGCATATAATAAAATAAATGACTTCTATGTTAGTTTGAAATTTTAGTTAAACCGTGAAATATTATATTAAAATATACTTAACTGTAAATAAATAGTTAAAACAAAAATAACAATTAACTATAAAAATGCTTGGAAAGAAAAGTCACAACAATTGCAACAAGCAACGCAACGTATGTACAAATGGTTATGGATGGATATTAGTTACGTGCTTAATTTTAGGATACATTAGTTGTACAGGTAAGTATTTCAATAATTAACTAAATATTCAAATAACTTTGAACATAGTCGAAGCTCACGTTCGTGACCGTACTCGTTGTTTACGCGTTTACCGAATCCTAATACCTAACATAGCTCAGAAAGTTTTGTAAGAGGAAATGCAATAAAAATTATTGAAGACTTTTGTCTTAGATCTTAAGCGAACTTTGACTTATATATCGTCCTAAGCATAAAAGGACATAAAAACTGCGCAGTTATTCTCGGTATTGCACACCGTTCGGGGACTAAATAGGCGAACACTTATGACAAATATCTCAGTTTGCTTGCCGTTCGCAAGCTCCCAAGTTGCTGATGAATAGATAAAAAGATTCCTTGTTTTGAAATTCACGCATTGCTACTATATGACGTCATTTTTAAAGTTCATATACAGAATCACATTGAGAGTGCAATTGTAAGTAAACCAGCGCTAGACATAACTACGGACAGTCAAGGTTATATTTACTAAAAAATTTTTTCCGATCAATAAATTACTTACATATAAACGTATACATATTCGCTACATTCTTTCCGATCCGTAAGTGTTACCAAAGAAAACGACACAATTATTGCAACCAAATCTTGACTGCGAGTCATGGGAAGACGGTTACGGTTATTAGGTTACTAAACGTTTTTAATATCAATGCAGTGTTGTCAGTATTCTGCAAACACATCAAAAAATGAGTTATATAGCATATGAGTCATAAGTATTGTGCATATTTCATTATCTCAACCAGAAACTGACAAAACTATAAGTCCTTAAGTTCTTACGATATCTGCTCCCAAATCAATTCTTACCGCGCGCAAATCAGTTCTACTCTCTGACATTTCTACAAAGAGACAAATACAGTGCGGATAGTCCCTTCGCTATTATGAAACGTGTTCCGCGGGCCCCTTAGAGGGAGATATGATTTATTACGTTCCCTGAGTTCGAACGAAATATAATCGTAATTGAACGACACTTTGTTTCCATGTATAGGCGTAGTCTTCTTTAGTAGAACTAACTAATTTCTTTATCAATCGTTTTCATTATTTTTCATTTACTTGCGTCACAATATACTAAAAAATTAAATTTTGTCGCCATGCAAAAGTATAATTTTCATGGGAACCCTTATATAAGGTGGGGTTCAAAAATTCGATACATGTTGTCGGCATTTGGTAAAGTCAGTTTTTTACGAAGGTCACTCCCAGTTCTAATCATTCCTGACTACAAATTCGTTTTCAGAAATAAATATGTTACCGATGAGAACATTTCTATGGTAAAGTTGGAAATGCTAAGTCCAAGAAGTTTCTTAAGTCCAAGACTGTCACTGTCCAATACTTTCACTCCAGATTTTCCAATCGCTGACAATATTTGAACAGAGGTATTGAAGATCACACAGCAATCCTTTCTTCATCTACCGATCCTATATATGTTTCCCACGAACTATAAATTCATCTAAATAAAATTTCGCTTTGATCGAATCCTTGGAATGTTAAAATAAACGCTAAAAAATATAAGCAGATTACTTTCGGAATAAATAAGGGTTCCTGCCTTTCGCTCTTTTCGAATCCATTATCACCGGCCGTGTGAAATACCTTGGTTTACATATTGATCAAGGATTAATTGACTAAATATTGATCAAAGATCAACATGTAAGCGTCATATAAAAACTAAGCTTCACCAACTTCATTTAAAAACCCGAAGACTCTATTCGCTAATTCGGCCAGAAGCTCAACTTAATCTAAAGAGTAAATGCAAAGGCATCTTCCTACCTATTTGGACATGCGGCATACAGTTGTGGCGAAGAGCCAGCCAGTAACTCTAACATTCAAATACTTCACAAACATCGATCTAAGACTCTCATTAGCAACAAGACTGTTCATGATGGCCTGCATTTTCCTTTTGTTAAAAATCAAGTTCAAACTGTCTTCTCAAACTAAGTAATCGCGTAAATCGTTTAACAATAGTTCTTCTCGATGAATTTTAGCGAGGCAGGAAGTTGGTCCAAAGATTATATTCTAGACTTTTTATTTTCAAATTAATTTATTTTTGCTCCTTAAATTATTTCAATGATATATATATAAATATATATATTTTTTTGTTGTTTCTCCAAAATTCGTGTCATTATTGCCATATTGTTTTATTGTTGTCAATGTAAGTGAATTTTTTTTGTTTCATCACCAAGTCCTTAGAGCGAAGACGTATACGTCTCCCAGCTTTAAAGAATAGACTTTATGAACTAAGAGCTAAAATTCCAAGCCAAAGCTTCTTAACTCAATCAAATCTATTCTTGGCGGAAATGTGAAAAGCTTCCGTATCGCAATATAGATTTAAAGTTTTCAAAACCTACTCTTGTCACATTTCGCTCTATATGTTCAAGCCAGAGAACACTCTACATTACGTCTTCTAGAATCTAGTTGAAAGAGAAGCCAAGATCATTGTTGACATCTCATTTACACAGCCGGACTGTGTTGTTGTGATAGACGCTACAGGACAAGTTCTGCTTAATTGCATACTTCACGAAAGTGCCTCAATTTTCAAAAGCGAAACTCAGGCTATCCTTCAAGCTATGAATCTTGCTCATCAAAACAAACTTAAAACTGTTGCTATCACTGATAATGCTGATCTGTGCTAAAGGTTATCCGGCATCCTTCCACTTCGAGCTGGAACACCATTAACAAGTTAATGAATACCATCGTAGTATGCGGTGACAACATTCAAACGTTTTGTTTGCTTAGTCATATCGTAGGGAAATGAGCAAGCGAATCTGCTGCTTCTGCACCTCCAGTTCCGAACTATATCATGAAAAATTTGGACGGAGAGTTAAAGAACTCATTGGAAGGCAAGTTAAAAAGAAAATAATGGAAGCAAATCTACAGTGCTATCAGCAGCACTACTTCTCCGTTAACCGTCCTCTATTTCCTCCATTATATCCAACAAGTGTTGGCAAAACCAAGACTAAAACATTTGCGAGAGTCCGCCTTGACTATACAATAGCAACACACAAATGGATCCTAAAGAGGTCTTCTTCTCCAGTTTGCCATTCCAGACAAATTTGTGCAATAAAGCACTATTTTTGTGAAATCTTTATTAAAAAAATTGCTTTCCGAACAACTCATCTTATGGACGTTGTTCACCAGGTACCTCGTGCTCAATTTCTATTTTATTTTAGCCTAAATATGTATTTCTTTACCCTAAAGAAATTATTATTAAGTATTTGCATGTGTTTTGCTCATTCTGGCCAGTCAAGCCATGCTGCATCGATCTGACCCTGTGGTAATCGGAAGGCGCTATGTCTGATGACAGTTTACCCTTGACAATTCTTGCAACGTGTGGCCGAGCGTTGTCATGCAAGAGCATGACTTTGCATCTGTTTACCGCTATTGCTGCTCTTTTTTGTGACAACATATCGTTTAATTTGTTCAGTTGACTTCGGTAGACGTCCGCAATAATAGTTTCATTCGCTTTCAGCTTCTCGTAATACACTTGCTAATCCCACCTTATGCACAGCGCTACTCTTCGCTTCGGTCTAGAAATGAATGGCTCTCCTGGACCAACGCGTGACTTTTAGCGAAAACTCTTCCTGTTTTTGCCTGGCAAGCAATAAAACCGCGATGTTAAAACGGTTCGAAATCGCATTTTCAGTCAATTCGTGGATCTTTCCCACGTCTTATAAACGTCTACAAGAGCCTCTAAAGGCCTGTTCGAAAGTTTTTTTAAGGTTTTAGCTGGATTTTCATCCAACAACTGTTGCAACTCAGGGTCTTCGCATTGTTCTGGTCCTTCAGGCCATTCTTTGTCATTGACATCGAGATCGCGTCTTTTAAACCGTTGAAACGAAAATTGGCAATTGGCATATGATGGAGCAGCACTACCATAAGCTTCTAAAAGTATTTGATGGACTTCGGCAGCGTTTATCTTCAAATCAAACAACAAAAGTAGTGAATGTCGAAAATGAAATTTTGATGATTTTCCATGATTAGCGCATGTATGCAGTGAGCAATTCCATAACACTGAAGGGAAACTTGTTATTTTAGGTAGGACAGGTTTAAAGGCATCGTATTTAATCATTGCGCACATTACTTCACCATCGCATTCGTTTATTATTTTCACCAATAGATGTCGCTAACGAAACTAAACGCAGGCAGTAACAATATATTAACAGTAATAACAACAACAACAGGTTCTAATTGAACTTGGACCTTTTCGCCAAAATGAAGGCTTACCTTCGCGGCAACAGAAGCTACAGAAGAGGATGTGCAAAAAATTGCTATACCGAAATGCTATTACTCAGCAATTATTGTCGAGAAATTTTGAAAACTGCAGCTTGTTTTCATATGAAACCTGTTGGAAAGTAAAGCCTTATAAATAATCCGCAGTGCAAGGAGTAAAAATAATCTGATTTTCAGTAAAATTTGCCCTTGACAGGCAACGTGCGAACAAGCTTAGACCATTCTTAAGTCTTGTATACATCTGCTCAAATTTATCTCACTAGATACTATAAGTGCTGTAGGTCATTAGAGGAGTATACCATTATTTCGAACAGCATTTACAAGCAGCGAAAAAGCCACATATCCCTATCCTCGCTACTTACCTTCCAATCTGTTATGTGAATACATATTTGAACCTATGACATAGCAACTAAGTAAAATAATAAAATAAAATAGTGTGCAAAGATTTGACGAAAAAAAAAAACAAAATTAATTACTCATTTTAACAGTGAATTATGTAAGCCATATCTACATAAACTCATATGTATAAAGCGTATTATTCAGCAATTTATTATTATTTATACTCAGATATTTCAAACACAATTATATTCTCGTCTCTGTATTGTTACGGAAATTGAAGATTATCGCAACTACCTCTCTGCGTTTTTTTTTAAAAAAAAAAAAAAAAAAAAAAAAAAAGCAAAAGAAACGTCAGCGTACATTATCTTATCAAAGGCTTATCCATAACTTTGGCGAAAAAGAAAAACATTTCAAAGAATTCTGAGCGGAAA